CTCCTCCTCCGCCCCGACTCCTTCAGGTGCCAACCAGACCTCATGTAGGTGGGGTCCACCACCACCAGCTCCCTCCTCCCCAGATCAGCCGTTGCCGCTCTCCGGCGCTTCATTGGCGTGTCGTAGGATGGACGGCTCGGTCAGGGCCAGGGTGGGCTGCGTCATCCGGGGAAGGGACGGGGTGGTGGTTGCGGAGGTGGGCTGCACAGGCGGCGGGTCCTGCGGCTGCGCGCTGGGGACGCCCACGATCCAGTACTGACAGTAGCGGCTGTTCGCGAACCAGCGTTGGGCGTCGACCTGCCACGGGGGGTCCCGGCCGATCGTGGGATGGTGCTGGTGGTGGTGCTCCCGGACCCGCCGGGCGCTGCTGCTGAGGTAGGTCCCGCAGGTGCTGCAGCACCAGACGCGGTGGATGGGGAGCTGGGGGATCGGCTCGCTGCAGACGACGGTCCCGGGCCACCCGCAGCTGGTGGATTTCCCGGAGATGTCGCTGCGCCAGGCGGCCGGGGACCGCCACCTCACACGCCCGGCAGACGATGGCATTGTAGTCGCGGAGGTAGTCATACAGCGATGGCACGGTCATGGCGGACAGGGGGTCGATCCGATCGCAGTGGTGGTGTGTGTGGTCGTGGATCCAAGAGTAACATGGGAGGATGGGAACAGAAGATGGGGGGGCATAAAGGCCACGCGTGCCCTGCCAGCGACTTAAAGAGAGTCAGGGGACGGACACATGCCCCCTTTTCCTTTCAGGGTGGGGGAGCAGGAAGCCAGCAGCAGGAAGCATTGCTTTTTCCCCCTTTTCCTGGCCTTAGTCATGTCATGTTTCATCAGAGGATCCAGCAGGATCCATTTCGATCATGTCATCCAGTCCATGGCCTGGTCGGCCCCATCGAGGGACCTCGAGTGCGGCTAGGCCTTGCTGGGATCCCTGTTGTGTCGACTGGTAGATTTCGCCATTGACTCCTGATCCCAGAGTGGTCCAGGGCCTGGGACTTTTGTGCAATCCAGGTTGATATTTATACCTGTCAACAGATCACCACTGCCAATGGGCCAGGGGCGCCCGCGGCGATGCATGCGGATTGGCTCTTGCCGTCGCCGGCAGCTGCCATCGTGGAGATCCAGCGCGGTGACTGGTTCGGGTTGCAGCCGGCCGCAGCCGCCGGCGACGGTCAGGGTGGGACGTCGCCGGCGGCTTTGGTGGGTCCGGTGGATCCCGTGGATGTCCCAGTTGGGCGCGGGGGGCGCGATCCCCGCGAGAACCATCCGACGGGGACCCCGGCGGCGCGGTCGGCCACGCACGGTCTGGGAGAGGTCAAGCAGGCGACCCAGGCCACCTGGATTATCTAGTGGGAGAAGTGGTGCGGCCTCTGTGGGGAGCCGTGCACCCGGCAAAACCAGTCGGGCGAGCCGATCCCAACGGGTGCACGCGGGTTTCGCGGCCACGCCGGCGGATCGGGAGTCGGCAACTGGCACGGTCGGATGCAGCGCAACGAGACGGACAGGATGATACCTGGATCATCCCCCCCGGACGGCTGGGGACGCGGTCCGGGCCCGATGCGGTGGCCGGAATGGGGGGTGCGGAGTCCCATAGCCAACGGCCCCGGGAGGGCCGTGAGAGCCGTCTAGTAGGGTTATGGCACTATAACCATGTACTATGGTGGCTAATATATATTGTCTGGGTCATCCAGGTCATCCAGGTCATCCAGGTCATCCAGGTCATCCAGGTCATCCAGGTCATCCAGGTCATCCAGGTCGTCCAGGTCGTCCAGGTCGTCCAGATTTTGCAGGTCATCCAGGCCGTCAGCCGTCTAGTTTGCCTTAGTCACCCTAGTAGTCTGGGTCTGTGCTATCTGTAGTCTATATTCCAGTGCTTACTATTCATGATGTGTACATATAGAATGCACTAACTATCTGGATGACGCATGCTCTTCTTTATTATTAGCTCCAGGTTTCCTGCACTTAGTTTGGTAGTGCCCTTTGGTCTGCATCCATCTATCGTAACACAAAGTCAGCCAGTAGCATAGCATTAGAGGCTGCTTCCCCATACACACTATGTTCCAAACCAAGCCATAACATATATGCTGCCTCATCATCCACCACATGCCCGCCACCTAATTCGCCTAGGTATTGTTTCACCCATGACTGCTTCTGGAAAACAGCCCAGCAAATTGGCATTACTATATCTGTGAACTCACACCGACCCTGTCCCTGCTGGTCACAAACCACCTGTGGGTTAAAGCACCAGTAACAACTAGTAAGCCGCTGAAACCACCCACCACGCTCTTGCCCCTGTTTCTGCGCCTGCTTTTTGGCATCAAAAAATTCAAATCGCCGTGGGTTTGGACACGCCATTAACAGATATCGGGCATGGGATTCTTGCCCAGAGCCAGCACGGGGCAGGTGGTAGCAGATCATGCATATCCCACGCCATGCTCAGAGTGACGCAATGTAGTCAGCTAGATGACGTGCCTGTGTCTGGACCTTTTGGGTCAGCTCTTCACCCCCAGCTCGTAGATCAGCCAAGTCATCCTCTGCTCCCTCAACCTCTTCTTCACTGGTGCTACTGGCCACTGCAATAGGGTCAGGAAGCTGCACTTTACCTGCCTGGATGCATTGGTCACATAACAGTGCTCCAGGTGCACATGGGCAGGCATCATCATCCAGGAATTGGGACAGTTCTAACACACGGCATGTTGTAGTTGTGATGTACGTCTGCATGGCTGCTTCAGCTGAGCCTAATGGTCGTCCCTCACGTGGTCATGGTGGGCTTCCACTGTGGGGGAACTAAAAGAACAGACTGCCCTTCAGCCCCGTCTCATCCTAGCCGTCCAACCTCCTGCGCGAAATCAATCAAGCTCCAGGGAACTCCAACATAAACAACCAACCACACAGCCGGATGGTCAATGCCTAAGCCAAATGCAGATGTGGCAACAATCCATGCAGGTTAACCGTCCCGCCACTGCTATAAGGCTCGAGCCTTCTCCTCCACACTACCTGATGTTAAGTGGTAGAATGGACTGCCAATGGCATCTGCAATCTGCTCTGTAATACCTTTCTGCCAACAGTAAATAATACATCATGTGCCTGGCTGGAGTTGGGTAATTAATTCTTGAATCCCTGGAATGGCGAAGTCACGGACAAGATTCAAGTGGGGTGGACAATGGCTAACACAGAGATATATATCTCACAGTGTAGTAGGGCTACGGACCATCCGCGCTCCGCGCAATAACATCACCCTCTCAAACTCCACAACCATGAATGGTGGCAGGGTCCCAGTTAAAAACACCATTTGACAAGCTAGATCACGTAACTGCGGCAGGAGCCCCATTACCTTACAGTATGACACTGCTGTGACCACAAGATGGCACTCATCGAAAACCACCCGGTCTAGTTGGTTTGCCATGTGTAGTCAGTTGAGGAAGTTACGGAACTTAGGCCACACAGCCTGCTCAACAGCAACCATAATGAGCGGGCAGGAATGTAACTGATCAGGTTCAGATTCCGCGTCCCAGACATGGCCCTCAATTCCTGCATCCACACACCGGCGCTGCACCTCATCCTTCAGCACCACTAGCGGCAGGATCACCACAGTGGTACCAGCCCCCAGCAGCTGGCATGGCAGGAGGTACAGCAGACTCTTCCCTTCACTAGTACGCAGGATAGTCAGCACCTGCCCCGCGCCCGCCACAATATGCTTCATTGCCTGCTCTTGCCCATCTGACCGATACTGTGCATTTAGGCCGTACATGCGCTGCAGCACTTCCATTGCCTGCTCCATTCACCATCAGCGCCGGGTCCTTGCAGGGGCGTCCTGACGTGCTATGCGGCGTGCAATTGGGGTCTCCTGGACTTCGCTCCCCCACCGCTTAGATAGCGTGGCCACAGATGCAGTCTCAACACTGCCAGTTACACTTGTGGTGGATTCATCCCACTCCCATGGCATTCATGGTCCGGCACGCTGGGTGGTGGATGGGGTCGCCCACTGCGGGAACATGCGATGTGGTGTCACTGGGGCTGGCTCAAAGTGCAGGGGATCATGTATAAACTAGTGCCACAGCTAGCTTACATGTCGGTACTCCTGCAGCCCAGCATCAGTTAGCCCTGCCCGGAAATTCACTGTCCCTCCATATACACAGTTCCCAGTATGGGGTGTATGGCTTGCTTACCAGTGTAGTGCATCAGACATGCTACCTAGTATGGACTGTGGATCCTCATCATCTACCCCCTCCCCTTCCTCAATGAGCAGATTGGCTTCAGTGGCAGCAAATTTCCGTCGGGCAATACCAATGGTAATCTGGCGCCATGCCTGGACATGGATATGCTTCCCAAGGATTAGCTTCCCAGTGTCAACAATAACCCAGGTCATTGCATCATCCGGCCAGGGGCCAGTGCCTCGGGACCATAGGTAATCAGAAATTATAACAGGAATCTGGGTCTCCTGCTGGAGAAACTAGCGGAATGGTTAGATAGTGGCAAGGTACTGGGTAACCAGCTGGGCTACTTCTGGGAGAAGGAAACAAACTAGCCATCGTGATGCATTACTCTGACTCCGGGTCTTATGGTAGCTCAAGATAAAAAGCATCTGCCCATCATGCAGGAATAGGTCTCATGTGGTTAAGGTGGTATTCCTCCACCGGAGGCCCAGAAACTCGGATCGACGCCCCTATTGGCCTGACCCAAGGAAGAATAGAACCATGAGAGCTTGGAGGAATTTCTGCACTACATCCTCATACTGCTATGCAGCATCTGTAGATACAGCCCATTGACCCTCTGCTGTCTGTGACCAGAATGTGTGGAATAGAACTGGGGTCCTCCCTACTCATGAGATAAGCCAGTCCTCTAATGGATTCAAGTAGGGTGCATTCCGCAAATCAGTAAGGAATGACTGCCCTGGTGCAGTGGCATCCCAGTTATCAACTAATAGGCCCAGATCTATAACAGGAATCTCAGACGCAGGACTAGATCGGCCACTAAGGCATAACTCTTCTTTGAAAATTTGCTGCGCCTTAGAGAGCGCCTTGGAGATGATGTTATGCAGATCAGATAGGTGGAAGATCACCTCAGACCAGACTAGTGTCTCTCTATTGGCATGCCAGCGCAGCTGTGTGGGTGGAACTTCTGTCTGCCTAATGCGGAAGCCTAATAGCCGGTTCTCTAATAATTCAGCTACTGGACCATCAGTGTCATTTAATAGCCACTGGTCCTAGATGTCCATGATCATGGCACCAACACCCACGTCTGGTTTATCTGCCGTCTCCGCCAGTACCTGGGCAAGCACCACCATCTGGCAGTCATAAATCAACTGTGATAAGATTGAGGTGTAGTTCCCAACCATCATCCATGTACCTTGAGTAGAACTCCAGTACCGCACAGCAGCATATGAGACAAGGACAGAATCAAACTTGCGACGGGGAACCAGGTGTTGGATAATAGCAAGGCTGAACTCTAGGACAGCCTGATCTAGCTGGTCCTGGAGAGCCTCTTCACCATCATCTTCTTGCCCCATATTAATAAGGTTAGCCAGCTCACCTGCAGCCTCGGTCACCTCAACCCATGCCTCAAGCTGTCGCTCACTAGGTTGAAACAGTGTGTCCCGGAGGTGGCCCTGCTCAACAACTCGGTCCCAGCAACAGATTAGACGTTGCCATGGTTCACTGTATTTACGGCGGGACTGTTGGTTCTGCAGGTCAGTAATGGGATCCTGTGATGCTTCCCCTCTGGTAAAGGTGTTGAGCAGCCGTGCATTCCGGCGACTTAGGTGGCGTGCCTCTAGGTTCTGATCATGGACAAGCACCATCATGGTATTCTCCAGAACCCGTCTAGCACTCTCGTAGATTAAGTATAGATTTTGTTCCTCATCAGGCTTTGGCAGTTGGTAAGTGGGGCCAAGGTCACTTAGATTTAATCCTTGGAGGTGAACATAGATGCCGGTACGCTTCATCCAGGGTGTGATCTCAGAGACATGTCGTGCAGTCTCTACTTGATTTCGTTGTGGTTGGGATTGACTCTGTCGATACCATACCATTATCTGGTCCCATGCATTGTCTGGAACAGGGGAAGAAGAATGGTCATGTGTGGTAATTGGTGCGTTATTAGGGGCGTTGGCATGTGGGTATATATATTGCGGTGTACCTGTTGGTTGTACTTGGTCGGCCAGAACCACAGCAAAGTACTGTTGGCTTTGCTTCTGGTTGAATAATGTCTGTAGATATGCCTGATGCTAGGGAATTGCCCCTTGACGAGAAACCTGCCATTGATGCTGCTGGTTATAGTGTTGTCGCATGTAATCAGTGCTGGTTGTGCGGAAGTCACACTGTTCAAAATGGTAGAGATGTCCGAGCACGGTCGGGAGACCATCAATCTCATCAGTTCCATCAGGTGGCTGCACCACATCCCTAATAGTAGCTGCCACATTGTCTAGTTTGACTATGAGCTTTAATTCTCTTCCGCTGGGTGCTTTTTAATTTATGCTTCTCTTGCAAATGTCGTGAGAGATTCTGGTGTGTATAGCAGCTGCCATGGGTGGTGCAGAGAACCACTTGCCATTCCCGCACAATCTTAAGGTATGATGGAAACACATCATTTTCACCATTAATAACTGATGGTGGAGGACTGGAACTTGACTGGGACATATTTTAATGGCCAGAGAATCAGTTAGTATTGTTAAATAGGACTTGCATTGATTATTATTGCAGAATTGATGTTTTGAAGTTCAGCGGATTTTCACCTGAAGTTCTGTGGGTGCTAACATGGTTTGGGTTTAGCGCCGGGTAGGTTTTGTTAGTAGGGTTTGAGAGTAACTTCAACGCATACTAATTATAGTCATGTTCAATGTCATTTTCCATATCATGCTCGTCGTCATGCTCACTACCATGCTTGATCCTTCCTCGATTCATCCTCGATTCCTCACTTGATTCCATGCTCAATGCTTGCTTAATTGTATACTTAATAACTACTCATAATATATATATACTCTACGATGATTCTGTGGTACCACCCTGCTTGCTCCTCTTCACTACTCCATACATGTTTGACCAAATGACACTGATCATCACCACAAAATATATTCTAACATTTGACTTGATATATTTCCCTGCCTATCTACTCCCGCCGCTCAATAACCCTACCCAAATGCTCGATATCATGCTCAATATCATGCTCAATATCATGCTTGCTGTCATGTTCAATGTCATCCTCCCTACCATGTTCGATGTCATGCCCGACGTCACATGCTCAATATCGTACTCGATTCCATGCTCAATTCATCAATTCTATGCTTGATTTCATGTTTGATTCATTGCCCAATTCCTCACTTGATTACATGCTCAATTCCTCGCTCGATGGCTCACTTGATTCGTCACTCGATTCACTCGATTCACTCGATTTGTCACTTGTTTTATGCTCGATCCCGGAATTGATTTCATGCCTGATGCCTTACTTAATGCCTCTCTCAATGCCTCGCTTGATTTCATACTCAATTTTTTGATTAATTTCATGGTTGATCCCTCGCTTAATGCCACGCTTGATGCCATGTTCCATGTCATCCTCCCTACCATGCTTGATGCCGCTTGATGTCATGCTCAATTTCTTACTCCAATCCGTACTCGATTCCATACTCGATTTGATGGTTGATCCATCACTCGATTCCTCCATCAATGCCCTGGTGAATGTCACATGCTCGATGTCGTACGCGATTCCATGTTCGATTTCATGCTCAATTCCTCACTTGATTCCTCACCCGCTTTTATGCTCCGTTCCTCACTCGATTCCATGCATGATTCCTCCCTCGATTCCATGCCCATTTCGTCGCTTGATTCCATCCTCTATTCCTCACTAATTCCTCACTCAATTCAATGCTTGATTTCTCACTTGATTCCGTGCTCGATATTATGCTCAATTCCTCGCTTGATTCCTGTTCCGATTCCTTGCTCGATGGCTCACTCGATTTCGTACTCAATTCCTCGCTCGATTCCTCGGTTTCATCCTTGATTCCTAACTTGATTCATGCTATTCTATACTTCAATACTCATTCCACGTTTGATAACATGTTTATCACTACTCATAATATATACACCCCGTAATACCACCCCGCCCCCCACTACTACATATATATTTGACCACTGATCATCACCACATAATATATTCTAACATTTGACCTGATATACCCCATCTACCGCTCAATCTCTTGACATATCCGCCGTAACCAACAAATGAAACAAACAATTGATTATGCCTCTCCTGTTCGGGATGGGCCTGATCCTGCGCGTCGACCCCCATTGCCTGTAACCGGCGCTGCCATATGGGCTCAATCTGGCTCCGCCATGGCCCAAACAACATCATGGCGACCATGGAAACCAGCATCCCGCGGTACGCACATCGCTGCCGGTCTTCCCACCCGGGACATATGGATTGGGGCATGCCACACGAATAACATGCGGTATACGGCGCGTATGGAATCGCCCCCCGTACATCCTTCATCCACTTCTTAGCTGTCTGGCTATTGGGGTGCTGGCAATGGTACAACTCATGCTCTCTGTCACGCCCGGCCATGGCACAAATATAACATCGATTGTGCCACTCCATGCTTTCGGCCTGGGCCAACTCCTCATCCAAACCCTCCTGGGTGCGATGCTGCTGCTGCTGAATATCCATGGCGGCCCATTGATGGTCCTGGGCCTGCTGGACATGCCATACGGACATGGGAATGGCTTGGCTGAATGATTCGGTGGATGGTGCACTAACTGATGTTTCATGCGGTGCCTCACCGGATCCCTCACTCGATCCCTCACTCGATCCCTCACTCGATCCCTCACTCGCTGCTCTCACTGTTTCCCTCACTACCTCACTCAATCCCTCACTCGCTGCTCGCACTTGCTCATACTGCATCTCTTCCATGTCCATTGCCATGCTTGTAATCACCCCTGCATGCTGCAAATGATGTCCATCTTCCGACGGCTCCTGGACAACTACCTCCTGTGCCTCCCAATCGGGATCACACCCATCATATGCCTGCTCACTCCGATCAACGTCCTGGCAATGCTGACGGCGATGCCCATCCACCTCCCCGTCCAAATATTCATCCAACACCACCCGGCGACACCCAACCCCTTCCACCACCCCCATATAATCTGCGACTCGTTCCTGATCCTCTGGCGATACCCCCTCCATCCACGGCGCTGGCGCGTCCCACCCAGCCGGCTGAATGATGATCGCCTCGCTCCGCTGGCCATCCCGTCCCGCTCGACCACTTTCTTGCGCATAATCTAACAACGTCCGCGGTGTGCCAATGTGGATGATGCTACGGATATTGGGGATGTCGACCCCCATCCCCAATGCGCTCGTGGCTGCGATGACTGGACTACCTCCCATGAATCGGGCTAATACCCCTGCCTTGTCCAACTGATCGCTATAATATGCCTCGCATCCGAATACCCGTGCCATGGCTGTCACCTGCCCAATGATATTCGCATATATAATCACCTTGCCTCCTGCCGCTCGTCGAATACGGTCCTGAATGAATGCCACCACGGCCTCACTCTCAATCCACTGGTACGGACCCCGGCCGACCCCCGTCAACACGGGGCGCCATACCCGGTATGCCACATTCGGACGACTGGTACGGGCCCGGTAAATGGTCACTGCGGTCCGATCATGCTTCATCCGCCGGCATAACTCATCCTCCATGCTCGGGGGCAACGTGGCGGTCAACCATACCATCTGGGTGCGTGCCTGCACTAATTTCCCTAACTGGGCCATCCGTGGACGAAAATCCTGCTGATCGTTCGACACCACATGGCATTCGTCGATGACAATGCGGTCCAATCGCCGCGTCCACCGCAATCGATTCAAAAATGTGTGAAAATCGGGGCTCACTGCGGATTCGGGGGTCACCAACACGATCGACGCGGCGTCGGGGGGACATCGGCTCTCCCATGCCACGCATGAAATGCCCAGCTGCTGGCACCGTCGCTGGAAGTCGCCCCGTAACGCCACCACGCTTGTGCCCAAGACTGACCTGTCATATATGGGTAGTGAGGGCACTTACTACTGATTTCAGTCCCGGCTAATTCTCATGCAGTCCACCTTCTGGCTCCCGCTAAAATCACCATAATACAGCCTCATCATGGTTTCGTATACTAATTTTGAATCAGCTGCTGCGGCCCTAGACAGAACCTCTTAAGTTGTTTAAAAACCTATGCTACACTCCCTGCTGATTTCGGCGCTGGCCAATTCTGCCTCAGGCTATCCACATTCTGACTCCCGCCGAAATCACTGCATGCCCTCATGTTGGTTTCGCACACCCAGGTTTAAATTTAGCTGCTGCAGCCCTAGTTAGAACCACCTAGAAATTTCTTAAGGCTAAACCTATATAATATACCACTGTGGATTTCGGCTCCAGCTAATTCTGCCTCAGGCTGTCCAGATTCTGGCTCCCACCGAAATCACTAGATAGGCTCATGTATAATTCTTAATCCTGAAATTCAAAGTTATTTAAATCTGTAAAAAGCATTGCTGGTGCATGTTTCATTTGCTCTCCAGCTTCCCAGTCCCACTTATTCTGATCCCTCCACTGCCACTTTAGTGGTAGCTGTTCATTCTCTGCTATGTCTTATATCGCTGTGAGTCGCGGAATACCATGCCATTGGGGATATTCGTTTCCTTTCTCCATTAATGATTTGAAGCCTTTTTGTTCGGCCAGCAAAGCGAGTGCCGTCGCACTTTGGGATTAGAGAGAAGAAACGTGTGGCAAAAAGACCAATTGTTTGTTTCCACTGAAGAGCAATAGCCTGGCCCAGCCGTTCCTTGATTCGATTAAAGGCATGCTGGGTGATGACTCGATACTCTGCCCTATCCCATGATGTCCGAGTATATGGGGTTTTGTATCGGTCCTGGTCATCCCAATCAAACAGCTGCTGTAGAAGATCTGCCCAGGTTGGTATCTCCTTCCAGACCAGCTTTACTTGGTTGCGGCCAATAGTAGCTGGTTCGGTTGCATAGTACTGCATAATCCAACTGTAGCATACTCCATAATTGTAGGCCTCAAGCTCTTTAGGTGCTGGTATTTTGAAATCCTTTCGATTATAGGCCAGAACCTTCATGGTCAGAGCGAGAAAGCATATACGCCGCAGTCGGTCTAGTGCATGTTTATATGGTATGCGATGCCCTAAGGACTGGGTGATCTTGTCAATTTGCTCATAAAGCAGATGGGTGGTTGCAACCTGTTTCCTCCTTCCTTTGTAGGTCCTCTGGAAATCAGGCAGGTAGAAACGGAGTGCTGGTCGGATCTCGGGGTTGAATATGAGTTTATCCCAATCTAGAAGGGACGATGACAGCCAGAACATTCCGAGTCTCTTAACTATATCCTCAAGGCCAAGTCCGCGCCACTGGATCCCCTTCGGTGACACCCACTGGTCCTTGTAGAGATCATATGGTAGCCCATAGGGCTGATCATTGCAGGTAGCCTGGACTATCCTTGCTAGCATAATCCCAACTGCACCTGTATCCAGGGTCAGCCGCGGGCTGTGTTGACGGAGGCACTCAAGGGCACCAAGCCATCTGTTAAGCTCCCAGCGAATAAAGTCGACAGCCTCGGTGGTTGGGACTGAGATATACGGCGTATACCGGGGCCCTGGGCTGGCAGATGGCATGCAAGGCAGATCCAGCTGATGAAAGAGTGCCCATGAAATACGATATTCTTCCCGGGTTCCAAATGAATAGTTCCGCGCAGCTAGTAAGCCTCTATTCAATCGAGTCTTAGAGTTTATATAGGACTCCAACCCAGCATCTGCAACCAGGCGCTGGACATGCTTGCTTTTGCCCCCGCCATGGCCTGAACGCGCCCACAGCTGAAGTAGATCCATCGGAATCAGAATACTCTCAATGTGCTTATTGGTAAAAGGAAATGTTTTATGTCCATCTGTAATTTCCTTATAGATGTTGTATCTCTGCGCATAGACCAGACCCTGTACATTAGCTGAGTGGTCTTGAGAGAGTCTGAAATTTAGCGATGCTAGACTCTGCATCCCGCTTACTGAATGGTAACGGACAGTGACATGCTGCTTGGGGTTGAGGGTTAGCAGCCAGTGCTGCAGGCAGCATCGCTTCCACCAGTGAATCTTGGGTATATCCTCTGATATGCACTCTTTACCGAGATCAATATATGTCTTCTGTTGATGAAGATATTGGATATTCACCATAGATTAAAGCTCGTTCATGAAATCCTGCCGGAGCTGTGAGAAATCCTGGTGTTTCCACACTAATTTAGTGCCATACATCTGTAGGACAATAAACATGCCGCGGAACTCTTGTAATTAAGGGTTTGTCAGCTTAGCAAGCATGTGTTCCCATAATTCCGCCAGATATTTCTCTGGGACTGGATAATGGATCGCGTGCTGCCCGCCCTTGTCCCAGGTTCGATGCTCCTTGTGGCCGGCCCGCATTTTTGCAACACCACATTCCCACGTCGGTGGTAAATGTTGGATTGATGTCCATGGCATAATCTCCCGAAGTGAGGGAAGAACAATATGGTCGATCCAGAGAGCATGCTGGCGGTCAGTTAGGTAGGTGTTGCCGTTATAAGGCATATGTGGAAACGCGATATAGAGCCATAGCTGCTGATGATGAAGTCCCTCTCCAAACCGAATATGTTGACATTGGTTTAATCGACGGCCATGGAACCAGATATGGATGGATTTCTGGAAATTATGGACCGCCTTAGTATAGTACGAAAACCGGAGCCCTCGAAGGGCCTGTAGAGAAGTTGCTTCTGCCATGAAAGCATCGATATCATAGGTCTGGCCCCGGTGTGCGCTTGGCTGGTGGGACTTGAGGGGGTGGAGGGGCGGTGGATCTGGACTTCCAGCCAGCACATGCATCCATGTCGAGTCTCCTGGCGGTGGCATAGGGTATGAGAGATCCTGGCTGAGGACATCAGGAAGACTAGAAGTGCGAATAAAAGCGGTCATTTCTCCGAGACTAAGCCCATACCATGGTTCAGGGGCCGGACTTGAGCACTGTCGGCATGTAGGCTCATTAAGTAGATGCTGCTGTATCCACTCATGAGCAGACTTAGCATGCTCTGCTTGCTCAGTGTTAGTCTGGTGTATATCCTCATCAGAATCCTCTCTGATATTTAGACCCGCGTCGACTACCTCGTGCCACTCAGGGTCAAACTCTATCTCAGATTCACCAGAGATCAGTGAAGTAGAAGATAAAGGGGGTGATTGTTGCTCTTCCACTTCACTGATAGGACTATGATTAATCCTAGTTGATGTTGCAATAGGACCCTCGTGCACTAAGCTATCCTCTAGAGACTTAGAGCCAGTTACTGCTGGATTTGTGCGTTACTTTGTCCCCGAGATTCGGAGTGACTCCTTTGCCTTCATGGAGGATAATTTTCTGGAGCGAAGCCATGTGGAGCAGAGTTGGACTGGCAGATGTAAAGAACAAATGTAAAGAGCGAGATTCTGAGGGCCAGAATAAAAGAGAATCAAAGCAGTTAGAGGGTTCTATTTGTGCTCTCAGACTGATTCTCGAGCACGGGACTTTTGATATCATTGCGCGGGATGTACGAGACAGACTTGGTTTACATAGAAGGACTGCTCCCTCATATTATTGGGATCTAAGCAAGCCTCTTTTGGCGAATACATGATTGAAAAGAGAGTGAAATGAGCGTATTATGGGTACTCCTGCCGCTGTGACTACCAACGACAGTGAGGTGACGCAAAAGCTGTCTGATAGGGTTAATTGGCTAACAGGCTGCTTCATGCAAAAGAAAATATCGGTACTTATTGTCTCAGTCATTCAAAAACTTCTCGGTCCTTGGTGGACACGTTATGGAACGGCCGTCCAACCTAGATCATTTAGATACTTGACCTACAAGTTGCTTGTCCCTAAGATATGAACACCCGAAATCTTCAATTAGAGCGGCTGTAACATCCATAATTAGCCACCGAAAAATGCATTTGAAATTAGCCAGTTACAGGCTAGAATACTCACCCTCCCTATCCGGATTTCCTTATGAAGACGATAATTTGAAAAGGGGGAATCTATGTAGTTCCACTGGTCATGTGCCAAGAGGGGCTTTAGTCTCTACTGTATCCTTGTTGATCATCGAAAAAAATGAACGGGAACATCATGACGGTATTTCACAGAAGGGCTGGCCCAGACAAAATCTGTCGAAAGGCCAAGTCATGATGAGTTCGTCTGCAGAGGTTCCATACTACGAACAATTCCCTAACTCATGGAGAACCGGCTGGTTCAACGGGCGGAAGGTGAAGCATCTAAGGCTGTCAGGGGACGAAGATAGATCTCTACTGATGCTATTACCACATCAACTCCTTTACCCTTTGCAGGACGTAGTTTGATAGCTTGGAATAAACTGAATGAGGAAGAACCAGGTTCGACCGCGCAGTAGTCCAATGTGAAAACCTTGAGTTTTGACCTCTGGCACTCAATCCTTGACTAAGTGAAGAGCATCATAGGTCATTTTGCATTCACACCGCTAGAATGAGTGATACAATAGTTACTTGACAGTCTCATTATATAGCGACTTATACTGAATTCCCTAGCCTCGCATAGCCTTCCCGTTAACTGATTGCCGACTGGTTGCCGTCAACTGTAGGCGCTTCTTTTTCTGGTCTTAGGCTTCCAGCGAATGCATTCCACCCCTGGATCGTTCCAAATCTCCTTTAGAAACTATGTATTTCTCAAAATACACACAGACGATCTCCTGATTACCCTCATGCTTCAAGTCTTGCACAGGCCTGGAAAGAACCAAACCTTCCCCTTCTTCCTTCAACACGCAAACCTTGTCCTGTCGCGTGTCAATACATGAGGAACTGTACAAGGATTGGTTACCCACTCGCATAATGTCAAATTCTTTGATTGATATTGCACGAGGTTGCGATTGATTGACTGGTTGTGGTGTGCAAGGTGCGAAAGATTCATTTGCCTCAGGGCCCTGAACAAGACAGCTTAAGAAACTCAAAGCCTGTAACAAGGCACTCTTTAGAAGACTGATCATGATCATTGAGATTTAATGATACCCAGAGGACAGCGATTGGATATAGGGACTATAGAGAGATGGATAATCTGTTTACTCGGGCCGAGCGACCCACAACTATCATGCACATTGTATTTCAGCATAGTGGATGATGACTGACTGGTAGCAGCTGATGAGGTTGGTAATTGGAGCAATCTGTAGCAGTCAGTGAGTCTGGTAGCGAGCAGGTGTTGGTAGTTGGTAGTAGCATCTATGAAACTGTACTAGATCGGAGAAACCTCGATCCTAGCATCTGCGTCAAAAACCGATGTCTCAGCAAATAAGCAACCTTCCTATTCCAATTTCCCAGTAAATGTGTAGAGATAGCGCCTAGTAGCTTTCACTGTTTCGACCTTTGCAAAATGAGAATGACGATCTCGCCAATTGACAGCTTATGGAGATGTGCCAACTTCATTGAACAAACTGGCTATGACTAGCTTAATTCTTAGTAGTTGTAATATCGGAGCCTTGTTGCGACCATAACTAGCATTACTTTTGGTATAGTGTCCTGCACATTACTATTGTGACTATAACTAGCATTACTTTGGTGTAGTAGTGATGATCATGAGACAACAAAGAGTAAACACTATGGTATAGTATCACAAGTGATACTTGTTGGGGTAGTAGCACTTAGTATAACAGCTCTATTTCATGAGACAGCCTTTGGACCCGAAGCTTAGTGACAAGATCAGTGCTTTCAAAACGCTGCTCTGCGTCACCACTGCTTTGCCCATTATGTCCTGGTGCGACGTGCAGTATTCTATCCAATGCTTAAGGGTATAAGTATCTTTGATCATGTGCCCCAAACTCTCGTTATCTTTCTATTTTATTCTGCTTTCTATACCACATTCCACTCTGATACTCTTTTTTTCGTGACAGGTACGTCTATGTTCTGGTAATAAATTTCGGCTTTATATGCTTATTCTTACCTTGAAGCCTAAGTTTTGTCAATCAGAATGGCCACCAGTGAATATGCAACTTGCCAAACCTTCGGCTGCGGCCAAACTGGCATTCGCCGCGGTGAAAAGTGCCCAAAATATGGTGCTGTGCGCCCAGCAAATGATGGGAAGAAGGTAAGCTATCCATTATTTTTATATAGAATTGATGTAACTTACTAACTATCTGGACTCCAGTAACCTATTGCTCCCGATGAAAGCGCCGTCGTTGCCATTTTGTGATTGATCTACCCATCGGCCCCGACGGCCTGTCAGCGAAGGATGCTGGATGCGCAAGTTAAAGATGGCATTTGTTCAGCAACACTCATTTATGCCCAAATTATTTTTAATCTCTCCTATCATCAATGGAAGAGCATCGCATAATTATAAAATACTCTCTCCACATAAAATGTGTACTCTACCCTGTAAATCTTCAGCTACAAGACGGCATTTATAGGTGTAGTTTGGCCGTTGATGGTGAAAGCTGTCAATGGAAACTAGTGCCAACAAGAGGGTACCAAAAATGTGATACTGGTTTAGCCTGGTGATTGCCCATGCTACGCACAGACCCGTCCATAAGTACCTAAATATGAGCACCTTGCAAGTGAGGCCGTTCTATTTACAACAATCTGCAAAACCCATTTTAACGCAACAATTCCGACTCTGCTGAATTTCAGCTAAAGGAATGAAGATGCTTTCAACTCTTCATTGGAAAGACGATGAGTACTACCGTGAACATCCTCTGCAGAAGTACTTGAGGGATGCCTGTGTCAAAAGGGTGAATTGGGAAGCGCTATGCCAATACGCTTCATCCAAAAATTCGGGTCATCCTTGCAGCCTGCTAGAGAAAAGTACAATCGGCGGTGTACATCTTATTAGGCTTCTGAGCTTTGGAGATACTAAGTGGATTGCTAGAGTACAACTTAGACCATCAACACCGGAAACTACAAGCCTCCTTCGTGCTGAGATAGACGCAATGGAACTTGTCAGAGCCCGAACGGACATCCCTGTACCCAAAGTCTTTGGCTTTAAGCTTGATGATGCGAATACTGCTCGAGCAGCGTTTATTCTCATGGAGTTTCTGCCCGGTTTTTCCGCGATGGACGCCGAGGGAGGCTATGAAGCCCATTGGGGTGAGGTCCCACCCAAAAGAAGAGCATTTTTCTTTGAGCAAATTGCAAGAATACAGGTATGACTATTCGACACCTGATTTTGTTGAAAATCATACTAAAATCACCGTTAGGTGCAAATGTCCTCAATCAGACTGCCCAGAATCGGTTCAGTTATTAGGCGGGACAATAACTCCTTCGATGTTGGGCCGCTTCCAAAGATTAGAGGACCATTCTCAACAGCAACCGAATTTTTCAAGGCTTGGGCAAAGCATGCGAAGTTTCCTTTATCCGATGAGGATATCAGAAAACTCATAAACGGCGGCCCGACGGATTCTATCCTATGTTTGATTAACGCGTTCCCCAGCTGTCTACGTGAAATGGCCTGCAGAGTTTCGGCCAATGATAACGGCCCATTTCTGCTTTATCATCCCGACTTCTACCAAAGTAACATCATTGTGGATGAGTCATTCAGGGTCCTTGGTGTCATTGACTGGGAAGGGGCTTGTACTGTGCCATGGGAATTAGTCGAGCCGCCATTGTTTTTGAGCATGGTGCCTCCTGCTATGGATGACCCAAGAAATTACGAAGCAAACGGTCAGCCCAAGGACTTTGATAGCAGACGCCGCCTCAACGAGAGGGCTGAGTATGCGAAATACGTCCAGAAGAAGGAAGAGGAGCTGAAAGGAGATGATAAGCTCTCCCAGGTCCTACTCGACCCTGGTGCACAAGGACTTGCACACGCGATAAAGGTGTATCACGATCCGGGGAAGCTAGAATTTTACTGCAAAGTATTGGATCCATTTAGTTCTGAGTCCTAAAGTGACTGCTAGTCCAGGCTCAATGCTGACCTGTCTGGCATCTCGGGAATAGCCACAAAATTTGCGGACAACTGCCGGAAAAATTTGGGCTGCGTTTGCATAAGTGACGCAAAAGCTTCATGGATATTTGTATAGTAAAATTACTGCGTAAAATGGCTTGATCGCACAGATAATCAGCATGAGGGGGATACTTAGCCTCAGCAAGGGCGCCAGCGAGGTGGCCGTGGCTGTGGCTATAGTGTTGCTTATCAGCAGCTCACCACTCATTGATCATGCTGAGTGCTCTAGTCCAGTTGCCCTGAGTTAAGTCCCATCTTGAACATACTCCATCATTTAAATAAGACTGGCCGCGCTTTACTGTACACTTTCCTGATTATATCCATATGACTGAACATCTGAAACACAGCGGTAGCTTTATCTATTCAAGGGCTCTTGCTGTGCCTTGATCTCACATATTGCACATAATCCCGCCCTAGAATAAGAAGGCTCATTCATAACTTTTCATTCGTTATGCCTTGGTCAAAAATGATCTGAATCATTTTAAACAAGAAACGGTATAGCTCCCCCGTCTCCATCACAAGCATATGATGTGTTTTCATGCCATAGAATGACATAGTAGGCAGTGGTTATAGTCACAAAAATCTATAAGTTGCAAAGTTCTATCATGTGTTATCATCTTGTTGTGGTCAATCTTTAAGCAGGCTTATAAGTAGTGCGTAGCCCACCTGCCTGGACATAAAAATTCTGGAGTCCTCTACATAGTTGCATAGTTGATACTCCAAGTTACTTGCCCTCTGTCAGTGGAGGAGTAATGGTTTTAATTTTAGGTAGGCGGCAAGTTGCTAGCGACGTGATCCGACATTATATGCTTGGCATCACACCAGGCTGATCCTTGTCGTACCTGTTAGTGCGGGGACGTGAGAAGCAGCGTGAGGGAGTCCTGGCAACTCTTCAACTCGCACATATCAGCGGAAGTGTCTAGCTCAGTATGGTTGAAAGCGAGCTTCTCAACCATGTTGTTTTATGTTCCTACCAGGAACCCAAGAAAAAGAGGAAGGTCTTCGAGAGTTTGCTCCAAGTAAGTCTTGTCTCCAGCCATGCTAAACTGCCAGGCTAACAGGATCCAGGAGGATAAACTTAGTGCGGAGCCTGTCTTCAAAGTCTCAGGCAAACCTTCTCGTCTAAACCACAGAGAGTCGATAAAATTTATCGTGCTGCAAGACGAAATACTCCAATAACAGCTCCTGGCACCATTAAAGAATGGATTGAAAAGTGGAGGTTTAGCGAAGATATCTTTAGTTGTGAAGAAGCGTCAGATTTACAACCCATCACGCGCACTCCTGACATCTGTGATCAACTTGCTAAATGGTTCTCAATCCTCCATGAAGGTTGTCTAAGCCGGGTATATTAGCGGTTTTACTGCCTTTTGCTGTTCAGGTTCTCAGACACCTGCGCAAAATTTAGGCACAAACTCCATGGTCTCGAATCAAAAACCGGCTGGTTAGTTGCACCCAATCCTCGGGAATCTTATGGTGACATTTGTTTCTAGGCATTGAAGGGGCTACCGCCACCCCCAGATTAAACACACGAAAGAAGACTTGTTTATTTGATGAAATCAGCCTCGAGAGAACAGGCTATGGGTCCGAGCTCATACAGTACAGTATTGAGGGTCATTTCACCTGCCCTGACTGCACCTACAGCGCCAACACGAATTCTGGACGACCTGCCCGCTATCAATCGTGGGATTGAATCCCATGTCCATTTTGAGGTGTCACAAGCATCCACACGCCTAGTCAAGCAGCATCTCTTGCCAGCAGCACCCAATCGGAACAATTGCGACAAGATGCTTTACGATCCCTTTGTGACGACCCTTATTACAAACAGGTGGAGGGGATCATCAAGCAGAATAAAGATGCAGGAATGTTGCAGAGGCGAACCTCTGTTAGTCTATCGTCTCTCTATTAGCCATGTTACCACTGACTCCGGTCCAAATAGGCTATTGATGCACATTCGAATCTGAGCGGCGCCCCACCTAAAAGAGTTAGCATGGAGCACCATTGCTCGGAGCTACAGCAGCCTGGTAACAACACAAGTATTGCTTTGCGCAGCATAGCCCAACATCCCTATAGCCTGGCACAACAGGGAGCCACATACAATAACACTAACGGTACGTTGCAAGCACTCGCTCCAGACATCCACCTAGCATTTGAATGACACTATTATGGCATCGCAAGGAGCCGGCCAGGGTCACTACCTGAATCCAAACGATACCGCTATCGCGCTACACGGAATTGCCCATGATACCTATCTGCATTCAAGCAACGCTGCTATGGCGTTCGAAGGAGCCAATCAAGGTGACTTCCTGAGTATGAACGACACCGCTATCGTACTACACGGAATTGCCCAGGACCCCTACCTCGATTTCAATGATACCGCGCTAGCGCTCCGGGGATTTGTCCAAGACAACACTACACGGCAGTTCCCTTTAGACATGAACTTGTCTGGAGTTGTATAAACATCAATTGGGCTGCGTAGTATGAACTAAGTTATAATGCGATCAACAACCAATGCGAATAACTTCCCATCATCCGGGATGCGTAGCGTAGATTCTTCCAGAATATGGTAATAATGGTCCTTGTCCACCACTATTCCGTTCAGCGTGACCTCTCCTTTGATATGGATTGGGATCATAATCGTCAGGGTGTCGGCAATTTTGGGCTGCCCAGGAAAATAGACCACCCCACCTTTTCTGCTACTCAATATACTCCGGGGCTGTTGATAGGAAGCCTATACATATTATCAGAAATCATCGTTCTGCGTCTCAATAGCGAGCTCACAGCCTTTTCAGGGTATTCCTTCATGGCGGCGTTTATAGCATTGTAGCAGAGATCTGTTGGTAGAAAACCGCTCGCACGACCCTTTTGCGGCTTGGGAAGAGACACGGCATATGACTGGATTTGGCTCCAGGCAGCCGCTGCAGCACTTCTGACGTTTTCTGACCCAATTGCAATAATGTTGTTCATCTTCATCCTTCCGCACTAGTTATATCTGAACGTTAGCATTGAGCATATAATATCCCTTGGGAAGTTCACTTACACTATATCCTTCAATCTACTGAATATAGCTGCCGTACAGACAAGAAACGTGGCCCAACATAGTGGGGTTGCGCGGGGTTGATGAATTTTTGAGGTGCCCAATCTCAACCATGACATCGTTAAACCCATGAGCACGTGTTGTTAGTCATGGCCCGGGTATATTTATGACTAAACCAGCTGAACTAACGTAATCCACCACCGAGCGGCACACACCACCAAGCGGCACATGATTTTTACCAAAATTAACAAACCAGGAAATCTTCTACTACTGCGCAATCAAAATAAAGCTATTTTCATACATAAGAGAATTATATTACCTATTAGGGCAGCCAGTTCTAATATGAC